TGTATCGTGTGTGTGTGTGTGTGTGTGTGTGTGTGTGTGTGTGCGTGTGTGCGTGCGTGCGTGCGTGCGTGCGTGCGTGCGTGCGTGCGTGCGTTTGCCAAACATACATGAGAATGCCAAACATACATGAGAATGCCAAACATACATGAGAAAAATACGAGGGTTACTTCAAAATGCTGTAACTTTGTGAAAAAAAATCGTAGCGACTTGTTTTATTTTTCAAATTAAAGAGAAAGATTCAAACTTTACGCTGGAAACCGCATCCCCGGGAAAAATTTTAGCAAGTCCGTGCACTTGTTCAAATTTTGCAATTTTCAGTGTGGCAAACATGCTCTCAGATTTAAGAGTTTACAGCCACAGGAGTGCGTTAAATTTAAAATCGACTCACGGTATTTTAAAGTAGAGATTTCAAACTTTCATTTGAAAAAAAATTCATCATGTTATGATGATTTTTCGTAGAGTTACCGTTAACCAAAGTTGACCAATTTTTGCTCAAAATTTTTCTATGCCATAATTTTTTTGAGCAGTGTATATATTCTCTTTAATAAAAAAAATCTTAAAATATTTAACGATATTTTACATAAATTACTATTATTGTATGTAGAATCTTTATGATCGCAAGAAGCAAGATCAAAAGCGAAATCTAAAAGTGTATGACAAAATAAGAGTAACAGATACATACTTGGAGAAATTGCTCAGTACATAATAATATTCTGATAATATTCATTGTAATATCGTCTCAGCTATATTTCTACACATCTTGCACAATCTACAAGTTCACCAGACACGGTTGTCTTCATGTAGAAATGAACAACTTGTATCAAAGTCGAAAAGCGCAATCTCAGCGTTCTTACCATTGTTCTGTGCGTGACAATAGGATTGAACAATTTCGTACATTTTTCTCTCTCTTTTATTTTTCTATTACCTCATACCCTACGAATCTCCGACAATAGTGTACACCGGCGCGTGAAAACTGATTAAACTGTTAAAATGTAAACTCGTAATCATAGGTATATAATATATCGATTAAGTCTAGTTAGAACTTAATCGGTTCGACCGTTATTGAGATCTCAAAATCTCGGGTGTCACAACGCGACGGCTCGCGTTAAGAGACCCGGCATGGCTTGACATTATCATTTTTATATACATACATACTTGATTTATATTTATAATTTTTTAAACACTTGACAAATTTATTACTTTTCAAATAACTTATTTTCGATCACTAATCCTTGTTTAAATTACAAATTTCATTGAATTGGAATTGCACCGTCAAACATAATCGATTTTCTACTTTTTTCATGTGTTATTCAATTACCTATTTATTGGTAATACCAACCTATTATTTATATTTTATAAATAATAAAAAACTTTAGTCAATTAGTAGTTTCTTCAATCTGCTTTTAAAATCATGTACTTTTTACATTTTCGTTTTTCTTAAAATGCCATCGCAATGCATCCGGTGCCATTTCATACTGTACAAATGCTTGAAACTGGATGAGCACACGTCGCATTTATAAGGCTGTACTTTACTATGAACACGTTTATGGACAGTCAAATAAGCTTTTCTTGCAAACTTCTTCTCGCATATATCGCATTTATAAGGCCGTTCTCCATTATGAACACGTTCATGGTCAGTCAGATATTTTTTCCTTGCAAACTTCTTCTCGCATACATCGCATTTATAAGGCCGTACTCCACTATGAAGACGTTTATGGATAGTCAGGTTCGCTTTCCGTACAAACTTCTTCTCGCATACATCGCATTGATACTTTGGTAAGTGCGTCGAAATGTGCTGACGTAAATCAGTTTTGTAACTATTAACATACAAGTATAATGTACTATCTTATCCACGTAACGTAGTTTTGATACCGATAAACACCAATTAATGTATAGCGACATTACATTAATATTAAAATTTCCCATTCAACATAAATATAACATATTATA